ATATAATTATAATTGTAATTATAATTACAATATTTATCTCTATAATTGTAACTATAGTTATCAATATTATTATAATTACTCCGTAAAATAATTACAATAGTAATAATAATAATAATAATATTAATAATTATAATAAAAATAATAATTATAATCATAATATAATTATAAGTATTATTATAATTATTATAATTATAATTATATTAACATTAATTATAATATTATAATATAATAATAGTAATATAAATGCAATTAATATTATTATAACGATATTATTATATTAATGTTATTATTACAATAATATAATAATAATATGATTATTATTATTATTATTATTATTATAATTAGTATTATATTATTATAATATTATATTATAATTATAAGTATAATCATAATAATAATTATGATTGTAATTATAATTATAATTATTATAAATTTAACTAATTACAATTATAATTATAATTAATTATAGATATAATTATAATAATTACAATTGATTATACTTATAATTATAAGAATTTTAATTGTAATTATAATTATAATTGCATATAATTATAATATAATATTATAATAATATTAATCATATTATTATTATTATTATATTGTAATAATAATAATAGTCTTCTTAATAATTGCATTTATATTACTATTATTATATTAAAATATTATAACTATTATTAATATCTTATTTTTTTATCATATTATTAATATTATTAATAATAATTATATAATAATAATCATAATAGTAATAACAATATTAATAATAATTATTATATAATAATAATAATCATAATAGTAATAACAATATTAATAATAATAATTAATATAATAATAAAAGTGATAAATCATGTTTGAACTTTTCTGATCTGATCTGATCTGAATGTTTCCTATCTGATATGAATGTTTCTGATCTGATCTGAATCTTTCTGATCTGATCTGAATTTTTCTGATCTGATCTGATTTGATCTGAATCTTTCTGATCTGATCTGATCTGAATTTTTCTGATCTGATCTGATCTGATCTGAATTTTTCTGATCTGATCTGATCTGATCTGAATAAAATAAGAATAAGTAATAAGTAATAAGAATAAGACGAACAGAACAGCACCTTAATCCTTTTTCCAAGTTTCCTTTATAGGGTTGGCTCTTAACAAAAGTAGACTGTAAAAAATTGGTTTTTATTTTAGAGTAAACAACCATTATCACTCTCTTTACCTCAACCCTTTTCTCCATATCTACTATAAAGAGACTATGAGTGCGCCATTGTTGCTATAGAGGACTTCTCACATTTCCTTGTCATATCTTCTAGGGAAAAGGTGCAAATATATCCTCAAACTTTCAAAAAAAGGTCAAATAAGTCCTTATTTAGGAAGCTCTGTCCGGCCGTCACCATTTGGGGCGGTTCCCGGTGGAATTTTTTGTTAAAATTTTTTGAGCATCTTATTCATTAAGTCTAGTTTACTCATACCGAATTTCAGCTAAAACTTCGATCGGGAACGCCTTCAAAATAATTCTTGAAGACAATTGCTCTTTTAACTGCGTAGTTATCTTCAAGAATTAATTTGGTACGAGTAAACTAGACTTAGGTGTTGTTCTGTTCGTCTTATTCTTATTACTTATTGCTTATTCTTATTTTATTCAGATCAGATCAGATCAGAAAAATTCAGATCAGATCAGATCAGATCAGAAAGATTCAGATCAGATCAGATCAGAAAGATTCAGATCAGATCATAAAGATTCAGATCAGATCAGACCAGATCAGAAACATTCAGATCAGATCAGAAACATTCAGATCAAATCAGATCAGAAAAGTTCAAACATGATTTATCACTTTTATTATTATATTAATTATTATTATTAATATTGTTATTACTATTATGATTATTATTATTATATAATTATTATTAATATATTAATAATAATATGATAAAGAAATAAAATATTAATAATAGTTATAATATTTTAATATAATAATAGTAATATAAATGCAATTATTAAGAAGACTATTATTATTATTATTATTATTATTATTATTATTATTATTACATTATAATGATAATAATGTGATTAATATTATTATAATATTATATTATAATTATATGTAATTATAATTATAATTATAATTAATATTATAATTCTTATAATTATAAGTATAATCAATTGTAATTATTATAATTATATCTAAAATTAATTATAATTATAATAATTATAATTATAATTACAATCATAATTATAGTCATGATTATAATTATAATTATAATATAATATTATAATAATATAATACTAATAATAATAATAATAATCGTATTATTATTAATATATTGTAATAATAATATTAATATAATAATATCGTTATGATAATATTAATTGTATTTATAGTACTATTATTATAAATTAATATTTTAATTAATGTTAATATAATTATAATTATTATTAATTATAATTATAATAATTATAATTATACTTATAATTATAATTTAAAATTATAATTATTATTTTTATTATAATAATAATTATTATTATTACTATTGTAATTATTTTACGGAGTAATTATAATAATATTGATAACTGTAGTTACAATTATAGAGATAAATATTGTAATTATAATTACAATTATAAGTATATAAGTAATTATAATTCAAAATATAATTACAATTATAATTATATCTATATTTATAATTAGTGTAATAGGTATAAATTTTTTCATTTTAAATTTAATTTTTATTATTATTATTATTATTATTATTATAGTTACGATTATAATTATAATTTTATTTAAATTATATTTGTAATTGCAATTATAATAATTATAATCATAGAAATATTCAAATCAGATCAGATCAGAAAGATTCAGATCAGATCAGAAGGATTCAGATCAGATCAGAAATATTCAGATCAGATCAGACCAGATCAGAAACATTCAGATCAGATCAGAAAGATTCAAATCAGATCAGATCAGATCAGAAAGATTCAGATCAGATCAGATCAGAAAGATTCAGATCAGATCAGATCAGAAAAATTCAGATCAGATCAGATCAGAACCTAAAAAATTCAGATCAGAAACATTCAGATCAGGCGAAGAGAACAGCTTCTTAATGAATAAGTTGCTAAAAAATTTCATCAAAAAATCCACCGGGAACCGCCCCAAATGGCGATGGCCGGACAGAACTTCCTAAATAAGGACTTATTTGACCTATTTTTGAAAGTTTGAGGACTTATTTGACACTTTTCTCAAAAATGAATTATTGGTACACATGATTTCCAATAATAGTAAAAAAGCTACACATGCGCAAGCAATTCAACTACTCCGTATTATTTTTGACACCTAACAATTCTTAACATGTAAAAACGAACTAAATAAATTAGCTCATGGCTCATCAATCCATAATGAGGAACTAGGAGTCTAGGATAGAAAACCGAGTACAAAAACATACTACAATGCTACATATTAGAAGGGTGCTAATTGAGTCAATAAATGGTACATCATGTAAAATTCTTTTATTAACGAGGAGGAGAGGGGGAGGGGATGAGGAGGAACTTTTACTTCACCTATTGAAATTCTAACAATCGCAATGACAATCACCGTAAGTCGTAACATGAACTCTTGAATTCAAGCGGCGGAGTACTATTCATGATTAAGGGTGGATCCAGTCGGCATTCCTGAATGGATCGAGTCCGGAAAACCGACTTGATGCAGGACTGAGTACCCGATCGAGTACCGGACGATCAAGATCCTGGTTCACAGTTTTGTGGACCAAACCTTGTTCTGATCGGACCCAGTTTCTTTAAAGATTCGCTCCAGCCAAAAAAGGGGAAAAAAAATTAACAGGAACCGAGTCCGGGACCGAAACCGGACCGGCCAGGTGTCCATTACCAGCCCCGGAAAAAGGCAGTTCGGGAGTGCGGACCAAGGCCCAACCAATTTTTTTGGACTCTTAAATACTCCCTCCGTCCCCAAATGATTGGTCATTTTGACTTTTCTTGATCAATGGTGTTAAAATTTTGACAATGATTTGAGATATTATATTTGTGTAATTTATAAATTTTATACTTTTATGAAAGATTTTTCAATAAAAAATATGCTCATATATAATTTTCATATTTTAAATAATTTTGTATTAAAAAATATCATTGGTCAATCTTCTTGGTAGGCCTGGACTCGGGCCGGGTCAGGCACGGGCCGGGCTTAGGCCCGGCCAGGTCGTCGGTTCTGGAAAGGTGGACCCGGGACCAGCCCGGGTAGCCACCGGTTCCGGGCCGGGCCTCGAGCCTCTTATAATATATATTTTTCCTTTTTCTAAATAACCCCTCACCCCCACCCCCCACCCCCCCAAACCACCACCCCAAATGGCCAAAATACCACCCAGGAAAGTAAAAAAATTGAAAAAACAAATAAAATAGGTTAAAAGCCCGAACCGGGCCCGAAACCGGCCAGGCCGGTTCAATAATAGGCTGACCCGTACCGGGCCACTCCTCCCAAACCAGGCTCAGACCCGGAACCGGCACCCGGTTCCAGGGCCGGGTGGCCCGAACCGGGTCCAGGCCTACTTCTTGGGACAAAATGGGTATGACATTTATTTCATTGCTGGATAAATTATTATTACCTTCCAATTTTTTTTGTATATATTAGTACTCGTGTTATATGTTTCTTTTCAGCAGGTAAAGCCGTAAAGGGATCGATCACAAGATTAAATAAATGAAAAATACATTTAAACATGTATTGTTCACACAACAATAATGGATTTATCAATGATAACAAACATTATATTGCTAACTCTGCCCTCTATATCCCCCAAATCCCAATCCGACATGTGTGAAGTTCATCTTAAACAAAATTCCCATTCTTCTGTAAGCATTATTATTTGAACCTTGACTCGACCTGAAGACTAAAGATAACATTAGGTAGTTAGAGAAATAACTTTATATAAGAGCTATTTACCGATTTACCCTTAATGGTATCATGTAAGACTAGGGCAAAATATCTGTTGAGAATAAGGCTTTGTTTGAAAAGCACATCGGTTATGACAATCAACTCTATCAAATAACTATTATCGTTCATTTATTTAGAGTTTTGAACATTACAGATTCCAATCATTCCATACGGTTATGACCAGGAAGATGCAAACCGAGCATTCCCTATCCCTAATGCACGCTATGAAATTAAGGTTACACCACAAACATTTCACAGCAAGTTTTGTTATAAGTAAATATGTAAATATAAAAAACTATTACACTTGAGCATCTCTGGTGCAGCTGGGGCTCCCATTTCCCTTCTGAGGAGGCGGTTTGTAAAGAACATCGGTCACGTATTTTGAGCCAACGCGGCGAGTTGTTGCCACTCCCACCTTTTCCCATGAAAACTTCCTGTCATACACATTGGTGCAGAGATGGTTCAAGACCACACGATTGGGGGTCTGGTCAGGTGTCTCTTGACCAGTGGTTAATCTCCTGACGGTCATAGGTTCCAAAAGATATGGAGGAGCCTCAGCCGGGAGCCCCCACTCTTCATCTTCTTTTATGTTATAGACATTGTCATAACTGGACATTGTAACAAAATTCCCATTGGGTCCATTAGAAGTTAACTTATTGGGCTAGTAGTTGTATGAGAAATAATAAATTAGTTAACCCATAAGTTAGAGTTAGTAAAGAAAGATCTAGAGTAGTCTTTAGTTAATGTACTTATTAAATAATTCTAGAATGTTCCTAAGCTAGAATTCTATGGAATATTGTAGAATCTTAAGGAAATAGGAGTGCCTAGAAGGATCCTATGAGACCTATAAATAGAGCACTCCTCACTCATTTGTAATACAAGTCAAAAGCTCCAAATCAATAAAAGTTCCAAGTTCTCCCATAATCATCTCTCTCTAAAATCCTCTCTTCCATACACAATCACCCAAATATAATACTCATAAAGTCCTTTATTCCAACAATGGCGGGGTTTCGAATCCTGAGATAATTGGTTCATGTTCCTGCAAGCAAATTATACATTAAAGCGGGAAGTTAAGTAACGGCTAGAGGAGGCAACCACTGTACACTTGCTACCTGAAGCAGGGAGTAAGGCTACGGGCAGAGAAAGCCACAAGGGTCTGTTTGGAGCCCAGGAAATTCTAAGGTAGAAAACAAGAAAAATAAAGTTGAAATTTGAAAGGAAAGAACTGTCTTCCATCTCCTCCCTACCATTTTCTGAGATCCAAACATACACTTGATTATATTCAAATTTTGTTTGTATTTTCTAAGGCAATAGACAAAAACAAATTTCCTTCATTATTCCGGTTCAGGAATGGGTTCAAGAAAATTGTGTGAGGATAGCTCACACAATCTTGCTTGAAAAGTAGTTTTAAAAAACACTTAAACATTGACATAACCTTTACTTAAGCTTTCAATGCACCGAGTTAATTATACTATTGCTTACTTCATTTTGACCATGCTGAGGATTGTTCATCTTGAAGAGAGTAGAGGGGCTAGCCAAGTATGAAGAGTTGTCAAAAGAGAAATCTTTATCTAAATGGAAGAATAGCCTGAAAAAAAAAAGTATGATGTTATCCTGCAACAAGACTAAAGCATAATTCAATAGTATTTACATATATAAAATATAAATAATGCTACATTGACCTCATAAAACATGTTTACTGGCATGTGATATGTAGAAAGACACTTTACATTTAACTGAGCTACTACTATAATAACAGTGAAGAACTAACTTTAGACAAGCAAAGTGTTGAATTTAACAGAACAAATCAACGCGCTAAGAATTAATTGATGATCATCTTACAGAAAACTCCTAAGGAAGTTTAATATTTTCTTTTCCTCCTCAAGACATTTACTTATCCGAAGAAGGAAGCATGCATTTATAGAAAATTGTGCCCACCATTATTAAATCTTTAATCACCTCATGCAGAGTAATAAACGGACACGTTTCTACACCGTTAATCTCAATTGCCAAATGCATATCGAGTTCAGCTATACGTGGTGATCATGCGCAAGCCACCGAAATGCTATCATATGTGTATTTGTTAAATTTTTTACTTTTGAAACTAAGATGTTACAAATATCTGTACAAAGCAAATGAGCCATTATGTGACACCAAGTCAAAATTTCCTTACCCTGAACACTTTAAGCAATCCACTATCACCCTCCACCTCCTGTTAAAGTAATTCTAAGAGGTAGAAAGTAAGCTTAACAAAAATCAATCTACTAACCAGTACACACACACATATAAGTCAACTAGAATTCATGAAAAATTAGGAAACGTTTAATGAAAGATCCTATCATCACTAACTTTCACTTTCCAGACAGTAAAACATTAATGGTAAAACTTCTGGTTTTGATCTTCAAGTTTAAATGGATAAAATAAATCGGTTCCCCCTTCAAATATAATGACTTGGATGCTTTTGATCATGCTGTTAGATTATTTATCAGATTTAGATGAAACTCTCTGCTAACCATACTGTTGGAAAAATGTGTGAAAATTGCATTAAATGGCTATTTTGGGGCAATTTTTTGAGTGGGGTCCACTTCCGATTTGGGTCGGGTCAAAGTGGTTTCGGATTGTCCTTGTTAAGGGCTACAATTCGATATATGGTACGCTCAAAACGGATAACGGGTGAATGAGAAATCGCTTTTCGAAGTTTACCCGTTAGAATGGAAAAACTGGGAAAAAGGATGGGTTTCTAGTGTTAATTTCCCACACCGGAAAACCCAAGGGATTTGCAACCCTTTATAAAGGGACTCCCCCCTTAAGGAGTTAAGATTCCTTAGGGTAGAGGCTCTCTCCACGCGCGCAGGGGGGGGTGCAAATCAAATCCCGAATTCGGAGAAGAAAAACCGCGACTTGCGTGCGCGGGCGACCTGCGGACACGAATGTCGTCCAAAAATCCATCTCTCAAGAGATACGGGTAATTTTTGTTTTCTTCCCGAAACATATATTTTTCCCAGTTAGCAGAATTGCTCCGGGCAGAAGGCCACGACCAGAGGTGGTCCGGTTCTGATGACCGCGCATCAGAACTGCTCCAGTTCTGATGGCCCTCGGGCAGAGGTGCTCCGGTTCTGATGACCGCGCATCAGAACTGCTCCAGTTCTGATGACCTTCGGGCAGAACTACGCAGGGGTCTTCTGATGGTTTCTGAACCGTTACAGCAATTAATGCCCAACGTTTATATCTTTTAATGCAGCGTTAAATGGACAGTTCATGGACGAATCAATGCCCAACGGACTGGTCATTGATGTCCAACGTTCAGGTCCATTAATTCACTATTTTCATACAACAAATCCTCCTATATAAAGGCTGGCAGGTGGTTTGCAACAACACACGTTCTTACACGCATTCTTGCACTCCATACACGTTTTAGCTCTAAAAACACACTGCTAGCACTCTGAAAATTCCTTCTGTGTTCAGTCTTTGTTCTCGTTCGTTGGAACTTTTGTTTGAGTGCTCAAACACTAGTTCGTTGTCATCGTATCCTGGGAAACTATTGTTGCAACGCTCCTAGCACCGTGGGAGGCAACAAATACGTTTTAAGGACATCGTGCGTAGCACGAGCTTTGACAAATTTCTGCTCCATCTCATTTCTGTTTTCTTTTGTCATTTTATTTAATTAATTTTCTTTATTTTCCGAAACACACCCAACAATCTTAAAACGTATTTGTTGTGTTAAGCTTGTATCATACGGATACAATCTTAAAACGTATTTTGTTGCTAAGTTTGTATCATACGGATACAATCTTCAACTGTAGTTTGTCACTTCTGTGAACGAACTTAAATCTTTTTTTGTGTTTTCGGAAAAACGTTAAGAAAACGAAAATGACTTCTCAAGAAAACGAGATTGGTGTTGGGCAGAATGTTCTGAACGACAATCACTCTGAAAGCGGAGCACCGGTGAACAATAGTTCACAACGCGGTGCATCTGCTTTGGCCAACCAAAGGGCTATCCCTATGGTGACCGTGCCAAGCAACTCTGTGGAGAAACCCGAGAAATTCAATGGGTTAAACTTCAAGAGGTGGCAGCAAAAGATGCTATTTTATCTCACTACTCTCGGTCTTGCGAGGTTCTTGACCGAGGATGCTCCGGTTGTAACCGGGAGTGAGGTAGATGTGCAATCTCTCAACGCGGTTGAGGCTTGGAAGCATTCTGACTTCCTTTGCCGAAACTATGTGTTGAACGGGCTGCATGATGCTTTGTACGACGTATATAGCAAATTAGCTACGGCTAAGGAGCTATGGAATGCTTTGGACCACAAATATAAAAGCGAGGATGCCGGCGCAAAGAAATTTGTTGTTGGTCGATTCCTTGATTTTAAAATGGTGGATTCGAAGACGGTCTTGAGTCAAGTTGAGGAGATGCAAATGATCTTCAACGAAATTCGAGATGAAGGAATGACGGTTAGCGAGTCTTTCCAAGTGGCGTCAATTATACATTTGTTGCCGCCGGCTTGGAAGGATTTCAAAAACTACCTTAAGCATAAGCGAAAGGAAATGAACTTGGAGCAATTGATCCTCCGTCTGCGGATTGAAGAGGATAACCGGAAGAACGATGGGAAACTCCCAATTGTTCATGGCGCCAAGGCCAACGTGGTGGAGCATGCAAAAAGCTCCAAAAATAAAAATAATGGGAAGAGCAAGCTCGGTCCCAAGGGAGGCATTTCCAAGACAAAGTTCAACGGAAAATGCTTCAATTGCAACAAGAATGGACACAAGTCCTCGGATTGCAAGGCACCAAATAGGAAGAAAGATTCTCAAGTCAACTTGGTGCAAGGTGGGCAAAAGGATGAAGACATCATCCTAGCGGCTGTGGTTACGGAAGTCAACCTCATTGGATCCAATTCCAAAGAGTGGTTTGTGGACACCGGTGCAACCCGGCACATTTGCTCTAACCGGGAGCTATTCGCAACCTTTGAGCCATCAAACGGTGAGAAGGTGTGGATGGGAAATTCTGCTCATTCCGAGGTGGAAGGCGTGGGCAAGGTGGTCCTGAAGATGACTTCGGGCAAGGAGCTGACTCTCAACAATGTGTTGTACGTCCCGGAGATACGCAAAAACCTGATCTCGGGCTCATTGTTGAACAAGCATGGCTTCCGCATGGTCTTTGAGTCGGACAAACTAGTTTTGTCTAAATCGGGAATGTATGTGGGCAAGGGGTATGCAGTTGATGGGCTGTTTAAGCTCAATGTAATGACTATTATTGATAATAATAATAAAATCTCTTCTGCTTACTTGCTTGAGTCTTCCAATGTGTGGCATGGTAGACTAGGACATGTTAATTTTAATTCTATACGTAGATTAATTAACATGGAACACATTCCTAAATTCACAATTGATGTGAAGCACAAATGTGATATTTGTGTTGAGGCAAAACTAACGAAAACGTCTTTCAAATCGGTTGAAAGAAAAACGGAACCACTAGAATTAATTCATAGTGACGTTTGTGATTTTAAATCAATACAAACACGTGGTGGTAATAAATATTTTATTACTTTTATCGATGATAGCACTCGCTATAGCTATGTTTATTTGTTGAAAAATAAACACGAAGCAATCGATAAATTCATTCTTTATAAGAATGAAGTGGAAAACCAACTTAATCGACGGATTAAAACGGTTAGGAGTGATCGAGGTGGTGAGTATGAAGCACCAATTGGTGACTTTTGCGCTAGTGTGGGTATAGTACACGAACGTACCGCCCCCTATTCACCTCAATCAAACGGTGTTGCCGAACGAAAGAATCGCACATTGAAAGATATGATGAATGCGATGCTAGTAAGTTCGGGCTTGCCACAAAATATGTGGGGCGAAGCGATCTTAACAAGCAATTACCTTTTAAATAAGGTTCCCCGGAAAAAATATGATAAAACTCCATACGAGTTGTGGAAAGGCAGACGGCCTTCCTATCAATATTTAAAAGTGTGGGGGTGTCTTGCTAAGGTGCTTGTACCAACACCTAAGAAAATAAAAATAGGTCCAAAAACGGTGGACTGTATTTTTATTGGATATGCACAAAATAGTAGTGCTTATCGGTTTTTAGTGTACGATTCGAATAATCCGGATGTACATAAAAACACAATAATCGAGTCAAGGAATGCATCATTCTTTGAAGACGTATTTCCATGCAAGTCCAACGATGGACCTAGCACGTCAAAACGAACGTTTGACGTAGCTATGGAAAATACTAGCGAGGGATCCGGTGAAGAAGCCGAACCTCGACGTAGCAAACGTGCTAGAGTTGAAAAATCCTTCGGACCGGATTTTCTCACATACTTGGCAGAATTCGATTCGAATATTCTAACTTGTATGGTAGAAGATGAACCGGATTTTCTAACATGTTTGGTAGAAAATGAGCCACGGACTTATATGGAAGCCGTAACGTCTACCGAAGGACCGATGTGGAAAGAAGCCATCAAAAGTGAGGTGGATTCTATCCTAAAAAATCACACATGGGAATTGGTTGATCTTCCTCCGGGATGTAAACCTTTGGGATCCAAGTGGATTTTTAAACGTAAAATGAAACCGGACGGTTCCATTGATAAGTATAAGGCCAGACTTGTAATAAAGGGATACAAGCAACGTGAAGGCTATGATTACTTTGACACGTATTCTCCTGTGACGAGAATAAACTCCATTAGGATGATACTAGCAATTGCCGCTCTGCGGAATTTGGAAGTTCATCAAATGGACGTAAAAACCGCTTTTCTAAACGGCGATATAGACGAAGAAATCTATATGGAACAACCTGAGGGTTTTCGTGTTCCAGGCCAAGAAAAGAAGGTTTGTAAATTAATTAAATCATTGTACGGATTGAAACAAGCCCCTAAACAGTGGCACGAAAAGTTCGATCATGCAATGTTAATTAATGGGTTTAAAATAAACGAAAGTGACAAATGCGTCTATGTGAAAAGCACGGTAGACGGCTATGTCATTTTATGTTTATACGTGGATGATATACTCATCGTGGGTAGCAATAATCTAATGATTAATTCTACCAAAAGCATGTTAAATTCTAAATTCGACATGAAGGATATGGGGTTGGCCGATTTAATCCTTGGGATTAAAATAATTAGAGGACCTGACGGTCTGACGCTAAGCCAATCTCATTACGTTGATAAAATCCTTAATAAATTTAATAAGGACGATTATCAAGAGGCAAGGACGCCATTAGATAAAAACGTACATCTGACCAAAAATCGTGGAGAGTGTATTTCTCAAGTAGAATACGCTAGGATTATTGGCAGTTTAATGTATCTAATGAGTTGTACCAGGCCTGATATCGCCTTTGTGGTTAGTAAGCTTAGTAGATATACTAGCAACCCCGGTGATGAACACTGGAAGGCAATAGTAAGAGTTTTGAGGTATTTACGAAAAACCCAAAATCTTGGACTGCACTATGGAAGATATCCAGCTGTACTTGAAGGGTATAGCGACGCTAGTTGGATATCTGACATTAAGGACTCAAAGTCCACAAGTGGATACGTTTTCACTTTGGGAGGTGCAGCCGTGTCGTGGAAATCCTCGAAACAAACGTTAATAGCTAGATCCACGATGGAATCTGAGCTAATAGCCTTGGATAAGTGCACTGAAGAGGCTGAATGGCTACGCCATTTTCTCGAGGATATTCCAAGTTGGGAGAAGCCTGTCCCTCCAATATGCATACATTGCGATTGTCAAGCGGCAATTGGAAGGGCACAGAGCAATCTCTATAATGGTAAGTCTAGACACGTCCGCCGTAGACATAATACCATTAAACAACTTCTCACAACGGGTGTTATCACTGTTGACTACGTGAAGTCAAAGGATAACATAGCGGATCCGCTAACCAAGGCATTGGATAGAGAATTGTTGGAGAAGTTGACACGAGGAATGGGATTAAAGCCCGTGAATTGAAAAGTTCTATAGTGGATACCCAACCTAGTTGGTCCTAGGTTCAAATGGGACAACTAAATTATAGTGCGAAGGATGGTCACTGTGGGGGTCCCGGACTCCTACCCACTCCTCGTTGAAACAGTGACTCCCGCACGAGGTTAGCAAAAACGTTTGCTTTAATGATTCTAAAATGTTGATCTACTCGATAACATTGGAAGAGTATGCGGGATACTCGTGAAAGAATCACCTATGTGAGAGAGAAGAGGGCCGCTTCAAAGGAGAACTGTAAAGGCTCAGTTCTTTAGAAACTCTTGCAGAACCAGGACGGTGACCCATGGCCAAAACGGGCACACCCATGAGAACGGAACAAAGTTGGAAGATTCTTGTGTAAAGATAAGTCAATGTTTACACGACGGCGGTATAGTTCAAAGACATCGAGTCTACTAGACAGCCAGTAAATAAACGTGTCTTTACGGCGGAAGGTTCAAAGGATTAAACCTACCTCTCCGTATGCAAGGATCATCCGGTGAACACAACGTGTCCTCCTATCTTCGTGTCTTTTTAAGTCTCGAAAATCAATTTTCATTCATGTGGGGGATTGTTGGAAAAATGTGTGAAAATTGCATTAAATGGCTATTTTGGGGCAATTTTTTGAGTGGGGTCCACTTCCGATTTGGGTCGGGTCAAAGTGGTTTCGGATTGTCCTTGTTAAGGGCTACAATTCGATATATGGTACGCTCAAAACGGATAACGGGTGAATGAGAAATCGCTTTTCGAAGTTTACCCGTTAGAATGGAAAAACTGGGAAAAAGGATGGGTTTCTAGTGTTAATTTCCCACACCGGAAAACCCAAGGGATTTGCAACCCTTTATAAAGGGACTCCCCCCTTAAGGAGTTAAGATTCCTTAGGGTAGAGGCTCTCTCCACGCGCGCAGGGGGGGGGGGTGCAAATCAAATCCCGAATTCGGAGAAGAAAAACCGCGACTTGCGTGCGCGGGCGACCTGCGGACACGAATGTCGTCCAAAAATCCATCTCTCAAGAGATACGGGTAATTTTTGTTTTCTTCCCGAAACATATATTTTTCCCAGTTAGCAGAATTGCTCCGGGCAGAAGGCCACGACCAGAGGTGGTCCGGTTCTGATGACCCCGCATCAGAACTGCTCCAGTTCTGATGGCCCTCGGGCAGAGGTGCTCCGGTTCTGATGACCGCGCATCAGAACTGCTCCAGTTCTGATGACCTTCGGGCAGAACTACGCAGGGGTCTTCTGATGGTTTCTGAACCGTTACAGCAATTAAGGGAAATTTGTTAAAAGAGTCCTGTAACTTTGGCCAATAGCCGATATTGATCCTATAACTTTACATACTTGCAAAATACATCCTTCAACTAATATATTTGTTCAATTTGAGGACATTACCGTCGGAAAGTTAAATTTTGGCCGGAAAGTTACATGTCAATCTCCGTTGTTGTAATCTTTTCCTAACGTTTGCAGCTGACTTGGATGTGGGCCCCTTTTATGACTTATTCTCAAACACTTCATTGTGCTCTGATCTCCCAAATCCCCCATTAGAACAATAAGAGCACAAAATCTAAGAGAAGAACGGAGGCTTCGTAATTCTTGGTCCGGCTTCTCCACATATGGAAGGAAGGTGAGTGTGTGTTCCTCTAAAGTGCAAATAATGGCTCAGGCAAGGATCTATGGAATATCATTGTGGTAAGAAGGCCGGTGTTTAAACTTCATAGACTGATATATGGCGAGGGAAGGAGGTTCCATGTGTGTTCCAGAAACAGAGTAAGAACTCTAAACTTTTTAGTTTTGTAGGTTTCGAATTTTGCTTGAAAAAATTAAATATTTTATATGTAGTATTACTTTGATATAAGAGAAAAAAAATATCATGTTAAAGGTTCTAACAAGACATTGGAACAAGAATAATAGCTGATTAGCAAAACTAACGAGTTGTCTTTTACTTGGACCGTTTCTATGGTTACAAATGGAGGCTTTTAAAATTGATAAGTGTCAAGAATTTAAAAAAAAATAGCTTGATGTGCAGTTTTTTCTTTATGTTCATTGTTACAATTTCGTATTTGGAATTTATAAGAAATAAATTAAAGATGTATAATCTACTACTCTGTATTCAGTTTAATCTAGCTTTTTTTTTTAATGTTTTATGAATCAGAGAGTGTTTTCTTTATGTGCAGGATGTTTTAAAATAAGGAGTGTTTGGGAGGGAACCAAAAACAGGGTCTCAAGTCTAGGTCAGCTAGGCCATATGAAAAAAATGAACAAGTGGCGCTGATGTGTTAATTTCCGGCGGAATTATTACTTTCCGACATAAATGTCCTGAAATTGGACAAATGTGTTAATTAGAGGACGTATTATGCAAGTAAATGAAGTTAGGGGATCAATATCGGGCACCACCAAAAGTTACGGGACTAATTTTACAAATTTCCCCAGCAATTAATGCCCAACGTTTATATCTTTTAATGCAGCGTTAAATGGACAGTTCATGGACGAATCAATGCCCAACGGACTGGTCATTGATGTCCAACGTTCAGGTCCATTAATTCACTATTTTCAAACAACAAATCCTCCTATATAAAGGCTGGCAGGTGGTTTGCAACAACACACGTTCTTACACGCATTCTTGCACTCCATACACGTTTTAGCTCTAAAAACACACTGCTAGCACTCTGAAAATTCCTTCTGTGTTCAGTCTTTGTTCTCGTTCGTTGGAACTTTTGTTTGAGTGCTCAAACACTAGTTCGTTGTCATCGTATCCTGGGAAACTATTGTTGCAACGCTCCTAGCACCGTGGGAGGCAACAAATACGTTTTAAGGACATCGTGCGTAGCACGAGCTTTGACAAATTTCTGCTCCATCTCATTTCTGTTTTCTTTTGTCATTTTATTTAATTAATTTACTTTAATTAATTTTCTTTATTTTCCGAAACACACCCAACACATACTACAGAAATACTACGTAGAACTTGGAATATTTATCGAATAGCTACCATAAATTTTTATTTTTTATAAAGTTCTACGGAGTACAATCTTGTAACTGCTAACTAACCTTTCTTAGACTTCAAAATATTACTCGTATCATTTTTGTTATCACTAGCATTAATTCGGATAAGTTAACTATAACAACTGCAGATTCTCTTGTGTGATCTTTTATTTGAAAGACAAATTCCCATTCTCTGAAGAAGAGTGAATCCTATATTGTAGTGCAAACAGCATATGAAAGATTTCAGAATGAAACGACACCCTTCATTCATTCAACAATAATAAAAAGAAAAGAGTAAACATAGGATCAAAAGTGTATATTTATGAAAAAAGAAACCACTAGTACAAATCTCAAAGAAGGATGCTTTCCAAAAAATAAAAAAGCTATGCATAAGTGTCACCATGCATTTGCAAGCAATTCAGCTGATAATTAACACACCTAAGAAAGTTGCAGAGGTAAAAAAAAATTAAGAAGAATTGATTGAATTAGGCCTGGGCTCTTCAATTAGTAATGAAGACCTACTGTGTACGGAAGCTGTTAAGCCCAGGGGAAAGTAAAATTATGGTAGAAGAGTTGAGATTAAGAACTGAATGCAAAAACATATTAGAAGGAAGCTAATTGAATAAGAAAATGGCGTATCCAGTAAAGCTCTCTGATTGAAAAGAAGAGGAGGAAAATGAAGAAGAAGAAGAAGAATAAGAAGAACAAGAAGAAGAAGAAATGCACCTTGAATGGCGAGAAGATATGAACAAAGCAAGTGCCACCAGCGGTTATAAATAGCTCGAAACCCTGATAGAGAGTGAAGAAAACATGGAATCGGAAAATCGGCAGCATATTCATCAAAAAAGCCATTTCCTGATACCGTCCGCCAGCTGATTCTGAAGAGTCCAAAGCTACAACGACCTGTAATGATTTCATCTTCCCTGATTTAGTTTACTTTTGAACAAAAGCGGGCGAAACTGAGGATGATGACGGGAGGGAAGCGTTGCAGAACATGTCAGAGTCGTCTCCTTCCTCATCAGTTCGGCCCCACGCGACGGCGAAATCCAGCATGAAATTCCGGCTAGCAGCGACTTCTGGTGTCGTTGCTGGATGTTTCGCTGGTATGGACGGACCGTTTGGGACAGCCATGTATTGGGCTTCACAATAGGTCTATGGGTCATACTTTCGTGGGTTGGGCCGAAGTCTGAACGTAGTCTTATATAGGACTGTATTTTTTCAAACATACGGAGTAACTACTTTCTTCAAACATAAGTACATGACTATGATGACTATAAGAGCATCTTCAATGCTCTACTTTCAAAAGGAAGTAAATTTTGCCAAATGTCAATAAAATAGAGTAATGTGAATCCATGTCATATACAAATCAAAAGAAAGAGATAAAAGGCTCCCAATGCATAATGTTAATAGCTTGAAATAACCACACGTCACTTATTAATTATTACTAAATAAAAATAGAAAATATTTCATAAAAATTGTAAAAAGAATTGAAAGAATAGGATAAAGCCAAACACGGTTGATAAAGAAATTAAAATAAAATAGTTGTAGACAAATTCATCTACCACAATAATGCATAAAATGAAGAGAAAAATTGGTCACAATAAAAAATTATGCAAGTAAGAATTACAGAATAGAAAATCTAAATTCAAATTGTATGTGTGTATATATATATATATACTCGTATATATATTTGTATGCGTTACGTGTATTTTTGGGAACCATTTTCACTCCACTATGGGTAAATAACCGTATGATGGCAAAAAAATAGCAATTGTTAGTTCATATTTGATGAGTCATCATGTTGAACACGCTTTCTAAAACTCCAAATTGGGTTTAACAGCGTCGAATCCACGTAGACTTAACAGGCCACACCAAAGAAGGCATTGGAGATGAAATAAACTACCACACTTTCTAAATTCTTATATGTGGCAAATTTCGGTTCTGTCAAAAGTGAGGGTTGGAGATGCTCTAATCTTCAAAGGAAAAAGTATTATGACTTTATTTCTAAGATGATACTTTATTTCTATTAATAAAAGCATTAATTGGATTAAATAAGGCGTTACATAAACAAGGCCGTAGAAAAGAAATATCATGTTGGTAAATGTATATAAACACAATACATCTTAGAAATACATACCACAAGATAATAAAAAGAAATATCTTGTTGGCGTATCATTATATAATTCTTACTAATCTTTTGAAAATTTCTCAATCCAGAAGTAGGAAGATAGATGAACTATCAATTTGAGACCTGAAATATAAAATGTGTTGGTATATGGCTCGAATGATTAAAAACTACTTATCTAGGATCTAAGTTTTCACGAATTTTATTATTTTCTAATTTTAATTTTTTGAATAAGATATAATTTTGGAAAAATTGAAAATAATAATCTCAACTATTGCCGGTCTGCTAACAATAATCCCAACTATTGATTATTTTTGTATAATCCCAACTATATGGACCATCCGCCAATAATTGTCCATGACCGCATCTTACCTACTATAACAGGTGAATTTTTAATAGAAATTAAACGTAAAAATGAAAATTTTGGATTATTTATAAGGATTACCTGCTATATCTCTTTAGAAACTATAAGAATTTATTTATAGTCGGTTATGTCGGACCATTATTGGCGGAAAGTCCCTAAAGTTGGGATTATTCTGAAATAATTGATAGTTGAGATTATTATGAGCAGACCGCCAATAGTTGAGATTATTAATTACAATCAATTTTTCCAACAATGTACGTCATGTTCCTTGGAAATGGACCATGATGTGTGAGACACAGTAAGTCCATTATAACAAAACATATTTGGGACCGGGATAGGAACGTGTTAGGGGGTGAAAACTCTGCTATTTAGCTCTTACATAAAGACTTCAAATTTTAGCTCTTAATAACGACCCATTTGCCTTCAAAAAAAAAATAACGACCCATTTTATCCATCTTTGATATGTTGTTGCTTCTCTTGGTTGGTTTTGAGATTTTGATGCTTTGTGTATTGAACTCATTTATACTATTACCAATCTTCAACTCCAAATGCCAAGATGCCTTATAATCTATAGAGCCATAGAGGGATTCAACTCCTATTGTTTATATGTCAACATTTAGTGTTACAGTATCGAAAAATTCTTACCGCTTAACATTTTACCCCTTCCTCTTATGATGAGTTCATGATTTGCTTGTTTTTTTGAGAATCAATGATTTGCTTGTTATCAATGGTTTAGGTCTTTTAACTTCGATCGGTACTTTTTGTTAATGCTATTTAGTACTCCGTATATAGTAACGCTCATTCACATTCCCTACATCAACCATAAGTAGACATTTTTACTTTATAAATAAGCAAGTGGAGAGAAAATTAGGAAGAAGTTATAACTAAAATTCATAATAACATGAATTCCAACAATTTTGTGGAATTAATGGATCATTTTAGTCCAGTTCCTTTTCTTTTCTATTTTAACTAGGCAGGTATGAAAAATGGGAAGGAATAGCCTTCTTCTTCCCAACCTACTTTAAGCTACTGCCCTGAGATGGGTTTGTAATTTTTTTCATCATTTAGTAGCTTACTAACCTACTTTAGTTTAGAAAATATAGATGAAGCTTGTGTATAATTTTCCCAATCATTTTCATCTTTATTATTTTGTTTTCCAACCATTCTAAAAACACCTACTCTTTACTTATAAATAAAATATAACGTTGTATGTTTGAAATAATTAATCCCTTTCCTAAAGAAATCGAACAAAATTTCCCATATAAAATATCACATTGAACTAAAAGAAAAGTGATTATAAGAGTGATACTTTGTCAAGGAAGGCTACAAACACACACATGTGTGAGTCAACAAATTTTGGCCCCACATTTTTTAATTTTGTGGGGCTTGAATCAATGGCCTCATTCGACTTGAGATAAGAATGGCCATATCATGATTTAAATAAAATCTAGAAAAGAAAATTTTAACAAAAGTAACAAATCTCTAGATAACTATGAATATAAAATTAAATATGCATGCATATACTCCAATGAATATATATATATATATATATATATATATATATTTGTGTATGTTGGTCAAAACAAAAATAGACAAGAAGTGAAACAAAGAATGTAATTGTTTGATTTATTTAAATATGATCTCATTATATATACTTTATTGATCTGGTTTAAGTTTAATTGTTCTTGTCTGGTCTTACATGATTTTATAATTTATATTATACTAGTATGTATTTGTGAAGCCAACTGGATCGACACTTATTTGCTCAGTAATGCTCACAACAATTTATTTGATCACAACAACTTAATTTCGTATTTCAGCATTAATAAGGTTCCTCATTTAATCAAGAAAGCTTTAATTACAGACTATATGAGTATGCCTTATATTTGTAGAAGACATGCTCATATATACCCGATTTTGGTGTTTTACCAACCGAATTTAAAAAATATATGAATGTAATTGAGACTAAAATTAGAAATACACGGGCTTTAAAAACATTTGTTAGAGAAGTGGGCTGCAGCAGTGGCCCAAACATGCTGGACTGCTGGTTTGAGAACTTCGTTAGAACACGAATATTTCTTGATTTTCTTCCACGACCTCCGTCTGAATGTCACTCCAGAAGTTCCTTCAAAACCTCAACACTGTCAAGCAGTGGCGGAACCAGGGGTGGGCGAGCCGGTGCCGGCGCCACCCCTTCGCCGGAGATGCTAGGGTATATATATATACAATTCCCACAGCGCTCCTGGTAGTCGTCTTCCTTGCCCCTGCTGTTTTCCGCCGACCTACTCTGTTTCGTTGGACAATCGATGAGTTCAAAGGTTCTGCTTTGTTATGTTTTTTACTGCACCCATACGACGGCGTCTTAGTAAGTGTAAAAAATAAATAGAAACGACATAGCATAGCTCATAGGCATACTTTAATATTGATTGTTATCAGTTACTCCGTATCACTTATAATTATCAGCCCAAAGGCCGTGGCTTGACCGAAGGCCCAGCCGCTCATATTCTAGAATCACAAATATGAAACGACCTTTGCCCTTGTAGTCGATAGCGGTTTGACCGGGTCTTCCGATGGGGTGAGGACGGAGCATTGAGGAAACGCAAGCCGCAAGCATCAAGCCTTTCTCTGTATGCTCATCTGGGATGTAGTGGTTCATTATTTCTTTGTTTAACTTGCTACTCCGTATTATTTAGTTTTTTAGTCATTTAATTTTGAATTTTTCGTATTTTGGGTTGCGATTAAGGCTGGTTTATTATTAATTGAGGTTTTAAAGGTTGCTTTCCTTTGCGAATTGCTGAATTGAGACATCTTATAACTAGTAATCATTGTTTTTAATTATTTAGTTTAGCTTGCTATTAATATGTTCCGTACAGTTTTAGAGTAAAACTTTATCCTTTTAATTATTTACTTTTTCAGGATTTAAAGTTTCAGAATTTCAATTATCTTTAATTAGTGTAGGGATTTATATTGTTTTATCTACTATGTACTTGTGTAAATAACTTAAATAAATAAAAATGACCAATAATTTATATTATATTACATAATATTATTAATGATTTTTATAATTTTAATATTTGTTAGATTACCTATGTGTAGTTGACCCCAATTTTTTTTGGGAATAAAGGGGTGTTTGGAACTGATTCTGCTTCTTTTTAAAAGCAGAATCAGAATCAGTTTTTAGAAGCTGGTCTCCCCCAACTTCTAAAAAAACTGATTCTAGGAGTAAATTAGAGCACCAGAATCACTTCTGCACTTTCACCCAAACACTCCAGCTTGCTTCTCCTTCCTAAAGAAGCAGAAGTATTTTTAAGAATTAGATCCAAACACTCCCAAAGTTTAGAGGTTATTGTTGTTAGATTATGTACGTCTATATTACTATTGTACTTTCTCATATTTTCTGGTTCCGCCACTGCTGTCAAGCGATGTCACAATAATCTGCCAAAACCTCACCTTCATCAAGCAGTCAAGATCGGAGACGCCACCATCAACGCAGTCCTTGCCAACCACCACCCCACCGCCATCCTCCCCAAGCTAACCCCTACCCTCGTCCACCTTATTATCTCTGACCCACATCTCAAGACCCCGAAGTGCATGGAATTCTTGAGTTTCCTCCTAAAAAACCACTCTTTAATGTCTTTTGAGCTCAATTTTGATGCCCATTTGACTCTTATCTGCAGCCTGGCCGAGGCCAAAGAGTTTTCACTTGCTGAGGGCATTCTGGGTTCTATCTCAAATCTTAAAAGCTTCAGGTATACCGTTTTAGCTTCTTTTATTGAGAACCATGATGTTTCTTTGAGAGTGTCTTCGAAAGTGTTTAATTGGTTGCTTAAAGCATACTCCGATAATCAAGAATTTGGAAAGGCCTCTGAGATATTTGATCATATGATTGTTAATGGTATAAAGATCAATGAGAGGACTTGTACTATTCATTTGATTGATCTTATGAAATATGATCAATGCGGATTAGGACTGCAATTCTTTAATCAGATGGTCAAATCAGGTATTCAAATTTCTGTGTTTTCTTTGACTGTGCTGGTGGATGGGTTGTGTAAGTTTGGGGAAGTAAAAAGGGCTAGAGAGCTTGTGGAAGAGATGGTTAGTAATAATAAAGGAATAAAACCAAATATTATAACCTTTAACGCACTTATTGAAGCCTGTACTAACAGATGGAATTTTGAAGAACTTAATAATGTGTTGGCAATCATGAAGCAAGAAGGTGTAGATTTTACGGTTGACACTTTTAGATTTTTGATTTATGGGTATTCAAGCAATGGGAGGATGAGAGAAGCAGAGAGAATAATCATGGAGATGCATGAAAAGGGTTATAAGGTGGGCACCCATTTCTATAATTTAATCATGAGTGGGCATTGCAGATCAGGTGAATTAGAAAAAGCATTTTCTTTAGTTTCTGAGATGAATGAAAGGCATGTTTGGTTAGACATGGATACATATTGGAGTTTGTTTAGTGGACTTTGTAAGGTTGGCCAGTTTGAAGCGGCCAATGAACTTGTCAATCTGATGCAGAGCAAAGGATTTGAGTTGGACCAAGTTATTTTTGAGACCTTAATTGAATGTTATTTGGATGAGGGGGTAATGGAGGAAGCAGTTAGTATCTTAAGTTTGATGGAAGTGAAAGGATTTTTCCCTGATTTGGCCCATGTATGAGAAGGTAATTTGTGCATTGTTCAAGCTGGGCCGAACTGAAGAGGCAAAGTCGAGACTAAAGTTCTAATCAAGAGGGGATCTCCAAAGAGGAGTTGAGAAACTCTATTCCATTTTTTTACTTAGAAAGAAACTTAGTTCCACAAGAATCTGTTTCCTTTAATGAAAGAAAACATCAGCTCTTGGAGTGATATAAATGGTGAAAATGTTTGCATAAAGGGAAAAGGGGCAAATAAGCCCTTGAACTAATCAAAAAAGTGCAAATAAGCCCTTTTGTAGGAGGTTCTGTCCGATCATCGTCATTTGGGGAGGTTCTCGGTGGAATTTTTTGATGAATTTTTTTGAGCATCTTCTTCATTAAGTCTAGTTTACGCATACCAAATTTCAGCTAACAATTCAACCGGGAAGGCACTCAAATGATTTTCGGAAATATACTGCGTTGTTTAACTGCGCAGTTATCTTCAAAAAATCATTTGACTGTCTTCCCGGTTGAATTTTTAGCTGAAATTCAGTAGGACTAAACTAGACTTAATGAATAAGATGCTCAAAAACTTTCATCAAAAAATTCCACCGTGAACCTCGCCAAATGATGATGACCGGACGGAACCTCCTACAAAAGGGCTTATTTGCACTTTTTTGATTAGTTCGAGGGCTTATTTGCCCCTTTTCCCTTGCATAAACATTGTCAATCAAGTTGCCTAGAAAGGTAAAATATTGGGAAAAGGTGCAAATAAGCCCTCGAACTAACCAAAAAAGTGCAAATAAGCCCTTTTATAGGAAGCTCTGTCCGATCATCGTCATTTGGGGTGGTTCCAGATGGAATTTTTTTATGAATTTTTTTTAGCATCTTCTTCACTAAGTCTAGTTTACCCATACCAAATTGTAGCTAAAAATTTAATCGGGAAGGCAGCCAAATGATTTTCTGAATTATACTGCGATGTTTAACAGTTCAGTTATCTTCAAAATTTGTTTGACTGCCTTTCCAGTTGAACTTTTAGCTGAAATTTGGTATGGTTAAACTAAACTTAATGAAGAAGATGCTAAAAAATTTTCATCAAAAAATTTCACTAGGAACCGCTTCAAATGGCGACGACTGGACAAAGCTTCCTATAAAAGGGCTTATTTGCACTTTTTTTATTAGTTCGAGGGCTTATTTGCCCCTTTTCCCTAAAATATTTGCAGAATGTTGCACTTGGTTTATGAGTCATGGAATGAAGAGGTTAAAAGAATCTGACCAGTTTCTGAAACAAAACATCTGCCATGGATTTAGATTTGGTATCAGCTAGCTACAAATTTTGGGATTCACGGGATGCCCTACGATATGTGATTGCTGAAATGAAATTTGTCACTAACAGTTTCTGGTATCAAAAGAGATCTTTGCCAATGGACACGAAAGAAAATATCATGTTTTAGTTAAAATCACTAGGAGACTAGTTGTGGGAGGATGGGATTAAGGCTAACTTCATGAAACCACATAGGAAGGAATGACTTTGATGGGGATGAAGAACCGGTAGAAGGATATTAAAAAAGTGATGAAATAATCCAAGTGACCAAGAGGCTGACATCCCAAGTAGTTCAAGAATGCTTTTATAGCTTGCCTCAGCCTTGCCTCATCTGTGGGATGAGCAAACATTTTGAATATTTCTCACTAGGTTGTCGCAATGGATGTCAAAGAGCTGTGGGCCTAAGCGATACTTGGGCAACAAGTAGTTTAGTAGTCAGTATGCAATGCTTGAATGTGGTATAAAATAGTTCAATATCCATTCTAATGTACTACGTATTAGTGTATAATGTTAATACCCCTCCCAACCCAGAAAGACTCACCATCGTTGGGTTTTTTTATCAATGATGTTGAAATTTGACCAACTGTACACTGTATTTTTATACAAGATTATTTATAGTATGAATATGATGCACAAGTGTTCTTGGTTAAATTTACTAATTTACTTACGTACAAGATTTATTCTAGCACTACTGATAAAAAGAGAACCAGTTCCTTTTTTTGTATAGGGTGGAAAAGTATTTTTTAGCAAAAGGCAATGACTTGATTCTTGTGACTGCTATCCCACGGAACCATATATTGAAAACATCAAGGAAAATATGAACTACACCAAAAAAGAGAACCAGAATACTTAGGGGACTGCATTGAGGTTTTTCTTTCTCGGATTTGATTTCGCTATTTCAGTTGGGAAACATGTCAAATTAGAGGGTCAAAGTTGATTTGGACAGAAAACGAACTAGGTGTAAATGTGCAGTCTGTCTAAGCAACGCCATGACAATCAAATTGTCAATCATTTTGCACATTTAAGGGTTAAAAATCTAAAAACGCATTTGTGTGGTAAAATCTAAAAACGCATCACAATCATGCTATCAAACACGTTCCGTCACATATTTAGGTCATGAATGTTGCATTTGTGTGTTTGAGAAAACTTTAAACTAGACCTTCATACTTTGGCCAATTCGTCAACTAAGTCCTCGTACTTATTTATCACTCAATTAAACACCTGAACTCTCAAAAAGTGTTCAATTAGGCTAATTAGCAGGTAACCAACCAGTTTCCCGTTAGCTACCCGCGTGGCAGTCCACGTGGCATACTACATGGTAATTATTTTATTTTTCTTTTTGTTTTTATCTTCCTTTTCTTTTGCTTTCGTCCATCTTCATTCCTTCTAACCTATAGGAAGCACTGAAATCCGGAGTCCCCAAATCTGCGAACTAGAAGATGAACAGTGTCCTCTTTCTGGAAATCTTCAAATCAAGTCTTCAGACTGGTATCAAAACAACCGTCTAGTTGAGACAGTCCCAGATGATGCCTTGATTTGAATTTAATCGAGAGAATCCAAAGAAATCCGGTAAATAGAAGCCGCCGCCGCCGGAGAGAACAACTGAGCCGTGTCGTACTGTGTCGCCGGAAGAGGGAGAGGAAGTATAACGTCACCGGTAAATATAAGCACGCCGGACGTGCCGCTGCTGACCGACGAATTCGGTGAACAGTGATATCTGCGACCTAATTCAAGAATTCCTTCGTTTCTGTTGTAATATTCGATTTCTCTCCAAACTAATCGAAGAATAAGATGAAGAGGTGAAATAAGAACAACAAACAAGAAGAAATTCAAGATTGCAGGCTTACCATCGGGGAAGGAAGAGAACCATCGGGGAAGGAAGAGAACGAAATGAAAGAAAGAGGAGGAAAAGAAAAAAGAGAAAAAGAAATAAAAGGAAAATGACATGTGTCCGCCATGTGGACTGCCACGCGGGTAGCTAACAGGGAAACTGGTTGGTTACCTGCTAATTAGCCTAATTGAACACTTTTTAAGAGTTCGGGTGTTTAATTGGGTGATAAATAAGTACGAGGGCTTAATTGAGGAATTGACCAAAATACAAGTGCCTATTTGAGAGTTTTCTCTGTGTCTTTTGATGAAATCAACTCATATTGGTATTATTTTTGTCAATTTGAGCCTTTGAGGTGTCCAGTTTGTAGCTTATTTAAAATTAACAGGTTTTGAGCTATGTTGTAAAAACCGGACCGGAGAGTGACCCGGTCACATGACTGGGTCACGGGTCAACCCGGACCCGGTGGGTCAACCCGGTCAACGCCGGAAAACCGGTCATTGATATACGTCTATATAATAATAGTAAATATATAATTATATATATAATTATAATAAAAATTAGTTATTATTCATAATAATCAACTAACAATACTACTTATTAAGCATTTAATACACTCATAATATTTCAATGTATATTTTGATCTTATAAAAATATATAATGATATTTTTATTTTTATTGTACATCTATATTATAATTTGGCATGATGTTCATTCTTAAATAAATACATAAATATATTACGTAGTTTTTCTTTTTAAGGTATTGAAATTGCAATTTTATTGGTATAAAAAATGCATTAAAAATAAAAAAGAAATTACTTTTTTTTGGTAAAAACACCCAAAAACTGGGTTTTACCGGGTTTTTCGGGTTTCTTGGGTTCGGGTCTTGACCAGGTTTTCCCGGGTCAGCCGAGTTTTTCCGGTTTTTGACCATTTCCGGATTTTGAAAAATCCGAACCGGTTTTTTGTCCGGGTCAACCCGGCCGGGTTGGGTCGGTTTTTTAAACATAGGTTTTGAGTACCCTACTTGGAATTCCTTGTGTCAGTATCAGTCGGAGGTGTTAATAAATAGAATGTAAGATATACTCTGTTAATACTACGTAGTATATTATTGAGCCCAACCTTAGTCCTAAACCAAGGCAGTCGGTTACGTGTGCGAATAGAACATCCTTTCTACGGCTGTTCAACAAATTATTCATTTACACAAGTTAAAAAGAGAAACAAAATGGAAAAGGCAGACAGTCAGACAAAGGAAAAAAAACAGAGACCTCCTCAAGACTTCATACACCACACAGATGGTTTCCCATGGATGGAATGATGGGAGAACATTTTCCAGCTATGTCATTGCACAAATTTGCAGCTACCTTCTCATTTCTCTCTCGAAGTGGTAATTCCAAAAGTGTACTGCCTTTACGTCCCGAGAAAAGATCAAACTTTTGTAGGTAGCTTCCATCAAAGCTGCCATTAACTTCCCCCGACATCGTTTTGTTAGGCATCAGCCTAATCAGTAGTTTTAAGTAAGGGGGTTAGGGGAGTTAAATAGCTTATTAAGTGCCTCTAGCTTATTTAGTTGTCTATTTAGTCCCTGCGTGGACTTTTGTTATAAATAGAAGCTGGGGTAGCCATAATAGGTAGACTGTTATTTTGATTATCGGTTGCCTTGTTGCCTAAGTCCCGGTTGCCTAAGAAGTCTCTGTAGCCTACGGTTTATCTCCTTCCATCAATAAACACTCTTTCCTTATCATTCTATCAGATCTGTGTTTGCTGGTTTACTGTTTACGCTCAGATTATACCAGGTTCCTATCATTGGTATCAGAGCAAATCGCTCCTGGAGACTTAATCGATCGGCACATCTCTATCGTGGAAGAGGAAAGTCGATTGTCGCGATACTGAGATACGAACGAACGAAGATGGTCGCTGAGAAGAGTAGAGAACCGCGATGGACAGAACTGAACGCCTTTGGTTTGAACCTGGAGGTGCGTTCGAACCTGGAGAAGAGTTCGAACCAGAAGAAACGTTCAGACCTGGAGATGGAGATGAAGTCGACAATACTGCAGGAGTCCATCGCGAAGGTGAACAGTAACCAACATCGACAAAGGAATCAATCGTTCACAACTCGCAGTTCACAGCACTCTTCACATCGCACTTTGCATCTCTCAGTCGCTGGAAATACCGTTGAACTACCGTTGTTTAACGGGGATGGGGATGATGTAGGCAGTTGGAGTGTGAAGATGGAAGAATACTTCCGTATCAAATCTACTGCGGAAAAACTTAAGGTTGAAGTAGCTTCAGAGGCTATGGAGGATGATGCGTTGTACTGGTTTGAAGGGTGGGAATTTCGAACGAGAGGAAAGAGTTGGGAAGTTCTGAAAGAGGACATAAATCGGCGTTTCCAACCACGCAGTCGGAAGTCAGAGAACCAGAAGCCGCGCTCTTCAAGGAATTCTCTCAGTTCGAAATCGCAGAGTTCGAGACTGTCCTATCCTTCCAGTCTGCAGGGGTCTTCGCAAGCAATCTCACCTAATTCATCAGCTTCATTGCAAGCAGTTTCTCTGAGTCCACAAATGGAGTTAGTTTCATTTCCACAACAGTCTGTGAGTCAGCTACAACCTATCCCTGAGGATACACTCATTGATGATGATGATGAAAGACGAGAGGAGACATCTGCTGGGGTGAATCATCTCTCGAGTACCCTGGAATATGAGTCTGTTGAGGACAAAATTGGCGGTTCTGAATTGGAGAACCCAGTGGTTTCTGACTCAAAATTGCCGATGACAAAGTTGCTTGTTGCTGAAACCCATATAGGTATTCTGGGAGATCCGGTCACTACTGAGCTTCCTATAGACAGAACTCAAAGTGATTCTGGCATGAAAAGGAGAGGGAGTACAGAATTAGTAATTGACAGTGATGGCCATGCCAAATTGGATGAAAGGAGGAGACGGATTCAAGAGTTCATTGATGTGAATAGCCCTTATATGATATTACTTTTGAGTACAAGAGATGGTGGTTGGGAAATATATCCCAGTAGCCTGAAATATGAAAAGCAGTTGGAGAATGGTGAGACTGCTTTTGGAAGCTGTGCAGATGTGGTAGAAAGCATAGTCGATCCTAAGACACTTGATAGAGTGCAGCAGTTTGTTTCTGAAGAAAGAATAAGCTATGTTTGTATGGATGGACAGATTTCTATTCAATCAGTCCTTAACTCAAATGAGGCTGAAGAAAGAGTTCATAGACAAGAGCAAAAGAAGGTAGTCACCCTGTATATCCCTTTAGATTCTTCTTATTTATGCTCATTGGCTGATGTTGGCCATTGCATATATGTATCTGGTGAACCTTTGTGTTATGATTGGGCTCGAGGTGCTCTTGTTCTTTCAGAGCAAGTTGGACCTATCTTTCCGGGGCTACCAATTTGCCTTTTCCTTGAATATGATGGATCTTTGACTGAAGGTGAATGTGTGGGTTTTGAGACTTCTTATACTGGCAGGGGGATAGGTGAATGTTCAGGTAAATGGTCTCAAATAATGACTGGTGATGTCCAAGATAAAATCAGTTCTAGTTACATTCTGAATTTGACTACTGATAATGTTGAAAGCTGCATAGAACTTATTGACTCTCATATAAGAAAAGATGGGATGAAAGGCAGCCCTGGGAGTATCTTTGCTGGACCAGTAGAACTTGGGGAACCAAAGCCTATAAGGGATGCATTAATAAAAGTGGTTAGCTTGCTGGAGGATATCTTTGTTAGGCCCACATGTATAATCAAGGAGGCTTGTCTACCAGCAATTCTGGGAGTCCTAAAGAGATCTACTGATAGAACAGCTGAAGTATGTATGGGTGTCCTTGAAAAGGTTAAAGCTGGTTTGCTCTGCGATTCCTTCAGTGATGAAACTCCTCAGATTCTTTCTATTTTAGAGAAGATACTGCGGAATTATGAGGGAGATCCGGGTAATCAAGTTGCTGCGGTCCTCTATGATGTGGCAGCTGAAATTACTACAAGGGCAGCTGGGTTTTATCTTGCAGAACCTTTATATGATGATATTGGTTACAAAGAAGAGGCTTCAAGTGTAATTCCAGGGAGTTCTTATATGCAGTTTCCGCTCCTGTTTGCTTTGAAAGATATGAAGATGAAAAGTCAAGCAATGAAGTTCAGGGGAAAGCAAGCTGGGAGGTATTGGGAAGGGAGAGGTGCAAGAATCAAGTGCAAGCGGAAGATCATGGCTGACTCCTATCACCCACCTTGAGGGCAAGGTGGTTGTTTAGGGGGGGAGTAATGTTAGGCATCAGCCTAATCAGTAGTTTTAAGTAAGGGGGTTAGGGGAGTTAAATAGCTTATTAAGTGCCTCTAGCTTATTTAGTTGTCTATTTAGTCCCTGCGTGGACTTTTGTTATAAATAGAAGCTGGGGTAGCCATAATAGGTAGACTGTTATTTTGATTATCGGTTGCCTTGTTGCCTAAGTCCCGGTTGCCTAAGAAGTCTCTGTAGCCTACGGTTTATCTCCTTCCATCAATAAACACTCTTTCCTTATCATTCTATCAGATCTGTGTTTGCTGGTTTACTGTTTACGCTCAGATTATACCAGGTTCCTATCACGTTTTCCCTGAAATAGGTACTAGCTTATGACTCAAGCCAAACCTATCACAAGATTCTTCATCCTCAACAGAGTAGTAACCATTCTGTTCTTGACCATCCAACAGAGCAAGATCGTCATATTCCTCATCTGATTTCGTTGATTCCTCATCCACCGATCCCTCCATCTATAAAAAGAGCATGAACAACGTTAGCGGCAAGAGTCAGTTTAGTAACCTATTTTTGGCATATCAGTTTTTGGACAGAATTTCTATCTAAAACATCCCCATTTTGACAGTATCAGCTGAATCAAAGCAAAGTAGTACATAATACACTTCTAAAGATATTGATTCCTTTGCTTATTACTCTGTATGCAACACATTTTTACAATGTTCCTGGTTTATCCTCTGTCATTTTGGTCACAGCAGAGGCACTTTAGTCGAATTCTCTTACTATCAAATCATCAAATGGTTCCAGTTATGACAAAAATAAAAAATAAAAACAGCACAACTTTGTAAATCAACAAATCATAAATATTAATCCATCTCAAAATTAACTCTCTACTTGCTTTTGGCAGTAGGCACAGAATTTACGATAATAAAGTTGCATGCTTGAAATTCAGTTAGAAACAAAAAACTAAGGGCCAGTTTACTTATTTCTCCAGCTTTCTATTTTTGTTTCCTGTTTTACATTCTCTAATTTTCTGTTTCCATTTTCCAAATCAGAACACATGTTGGAAGCATTAACACGCTCAACGCACTATAGCACCGAGTATTTCTGTTTTGGAAAACAAGAAAAAGTGACTTCTACAACTTAAGAAGAAAAGCAGAGACATGTCTCGTTTTTTCAATTTTAGAGAATAAGCATGTAAACACATTTGCCAGTTTTCCTTCCTCCTGTTTTCTCCGTTTTATACTTTTTTGAAAAAACCGAAAATATTCTTCTTAGTAATCATTCAAGTTAAACATTCATTCAATCCTTCAAGGAAAATAGATACTTTATTTAGGGACAACCCAAAGGGGCTAGTTACAAGTTAAGCAAATGGAAAAGAATTCCATATAATATGGCGTCAAAGAAGACAAATGCATACCTCTTCATGAATATGCTTTGAATCCTTATTAAAATCCTCATCACTATCTATTTCAGGCATTTCATCAAACTCTTCATCGCTACCATTGACAAATTGTTGCTCTTCGAGCTAATGAATGAAAACACACATAAGTCAGTGAGATTGGGGAAAAAATTAAAATGGTAAGACAGCACATTAAATCACAACTAGAAACACAAAAAAACAGCAAATTCATTTTGAAGATAGAAATCAACTCAAACGCACCTCCTTAGAAGGTCCGTCATAGAACCTTGGTGAACTGCAGCAAGACGAATGATACCTACTGCCATTGTCAGTCAGCTCCCCTTTTGATCCATCTAAACTATTAGCATGGCTTGTACAACCAGTCTCGTTTGGCCAAGCACTTATCCCTAAGTAACCAAACTGCAGATTGACCGGTTCAGCCTTCTGAACATGTAACGGTCCATAGTCCATAAATATATTGTCATTGGTATCCAATGAGTATATTGGCCAAGCCTTTGCTACCGACCCGTCATAATTGACAAGAGCCATCATATGCCTAGAAGAACCATTTCTCTGAAGCAGTTTAAGCACACCCTTTGAGCTCCAGAATTTGCAGCACGCTGATTTCTGTATTCCTCATTAATAACAGAAACTGTGTTTGTGGAAGCATCATAAAGCTTCTCCCCTGCCTCACGCCTCCTTAGGCAACTGAATGCTGTTGCATGGATCGATGCTACACTTCTATCAACATTAGTGTTGTTCACTTTTGGCACCAAATGCTTGTCAGCACAATTGCAGAGATATTCTTGTATAGTCCTGATGTTACGTATATATTTGACATATTTGTTTTTGGCTGGGTCCAGCGTCATGTATTTCGCACGAACTGCAAATCTTTCCAAGTGCTTTTCTTCATTTGCGATGTAAATCATGAAAGGTAGGATTGAAGGGTGTTTTTTCATTAGCCCCATCTGCATGTTAAAGCTGAATTGCAATCAAATCCAGAAGATGAAAAAAAGTAGTCATGTCGGATTAAGGTACAACTTTTCAATTTTCAAAAGGTACAACCCTTAAAAGTCACGGAATCAGGCTTTCAATTTTGGATTATTAACTAAATATATTCCCAACTATCATCAAATTCACAAATCTATCCTATACTTTCACTTTTATTAGAAAAAGATTCAAACTTTAACTTTTCTCACAATTACAGGTTCAATGAATGAATTAGTAAAAATTAAGAAGAAAATCATATTTATATTTCATATTTTTTCACTTCTTTCTAATTTTAAGTTTATATACTTGTAGTCTTGTATTGCTTATATCTTATAGGTAGTGATAAAAATGTGTAATTTTGAAAAAACAAAAAAGAAAAGCATAATTGTTGAAAAGATGAACTCTAAGTCTTTTTTTTAAGTGAAAGAATAGGATAGATTTGTGAATTTGATGATAGTTTGGAATAAAATAAGCTAATAATCCTTCAATTTTTTATACTCCGTAGTTTATTCCTGATTTACCTAAGTTTGCCAGATTGAACATGTTTGTAACATGGTTTGACAATTCACATATCACATGAAAAATTATCCCATATAATGAGCTAGGGCTCTGTGGGGGAGGCAAAAAGAGTTTTCCGAACAAGACGTTTTGGGACGGAGGTAGTAGCAAATTCTTACCACAAAATTAAGGCTCAAATGAACACCCTCCACAATAACCGATTCTTTACGCTCTTCCCATGCAGTAATTAATCTATCAAGACTTTCGATAACCATCTCACTCTGAGCCTTAAATCCTTCAATTGCCATTTGTTTCGGGCTAATAAAATTGATGGGATTAGCCGCATGCTTTTCTAGTGTCTGGATAGAATAGCCTAACTTCTTTGCTTTCCTTTTGGCCTTTGATTCAGCAACTGCTAGTGGATCTAAATGTTCCCCAGCATGGTAAGTTGAAGACCAAAGTAGAGGGTTCTCCTTTTCATTGACAAAGCTCCTCATCATATGCCTAATTGAGTCTGTGGATATTACAGTTGTGATCCCCAGCCTGCTTCCCTGTGGAAAAGAATTTAATTAGAGAAATTAAGGTATACTTAAAACTAAGATAACTACATTGTTTCAAAACTACTGCCACCTGCACCCCTTTAGAAAAAAAAATGGGTGTGTTTGTAATACTGATCTATATTTTACAAACATGATCCTTTCTTGGGGGACAAAGATAGTTTTGTTACTTCATAGTTTTATATCACTTGAGATCTTATAAAGTTATAGTACAACCAATAAACCATGCAAAGTCATATAATGCAAGGTTCGAAATTGAGCATTGCGTGTTTGAGGCGGTTTCTTAGCATTGCCTATTGCGTAAGCCTCATTGCGCAATGAGGCGTAAGCCTCAAATTTTTACCAAATTTATTTATATAAAAGAACAAATAATGTAATTAATACTAAACTAAATGTATATTATTCAAATAATGTAATTAATTAATACTAAAGTAAAAGAATGTTAATGTAACTAATGTCATAATAATGAAAACATCCAAAATTGAGGTCATAAACCCATCCAAAAAGTATATTCTAATTTATTAAAGTTCTAGTCATAAACCCATTCAAAATTGGGGTCATAAACCCATCCAAAAAGTATGTATTAAAATACCAAAGAGGAATCAATATTACTCCCAATTTAAAATAACAAAGAAGAATCAATAATATTACTCCACTACGTAATAGATGTTCCACTGTATTAAAATAACAAAGAAGAATCAATAAATTACTCCTAATGATTTAAAAATTCAACTATGTATGATATGTTCCACTATGTATTAAAATAACAAGGATGAATCCACTAACTACAAAGAAACTAAAAATAACAAGGATGAATCCACTAACTACAAAGAAACTAATAAAATATTACTTCTGCACTTTATCCGTAGTTAAGTACCTTTTTCCTTCCCATCCAGAACATATATCAATAAAAAATATACTATGTATAAAATATTAAACCCATGCCTGCCGATAAGGATGAAAGCAGAGAAAAAGTTGCAGAAGATTTCTTCTGTGCGCAGATAAGAAATCAACGGAAGACCGAAGTAGGAAATACGAAGTAGGAAGGTTGCAGAGACTCCTTATATACCATACACGTCTAACCCTCTTAAGATATACGAAGTATATTTTTTTTTTAAATTTAATCTGGGCTGTAGCAGACGGCCCTTTTTTTCGTCGCGCCTCAACATTCGACTTATGGCGTACGCAATAAGCGTACGCCTTTTCCAAAAAGGCGCAGAGTTCTATATTGCCTAATCCCGTTTCAGCCTTGTGTCCTAGAATGATTAAAAATCACAAGGCTAGCCTTATTGCGTAGAGGCGGAACGCAATTTTAAACAATGATATAATGTGCAGGTCCAGTAATCTCCTGCTTTGGTGCATGTTTAGTGTGTGCAAAGTGCAAACTGGTCAAGTATCAGATGGTATATCATGTCAATACCTCCCGTCATGGGGATTGAGGGGGACAACTTGCTGAAGGAGTTGAGCCATTCAGAAGTCATCAAAGCATAACAAGACTGGTATAGTTAATGAATTAATCAAAGCTCAAAATGTAAAACCACCCCTCCCAGAGTCCCTGATAATAAACCTATAATAAGTACATGTGAATGAAATTGAAGTTCAAAGAATGGATACAAATAATAATAAAAATAAACAATTAAAGCAACTAAAACAATTAGGTTTCAGCTACTTAAGAACTCTACCAGCAATGCAGAAAGAGTAGATTTTCCGCACCCACTTGTCCCACATAGTAGCACAATAACAGATTCCTTCCTTTCTCTTATCCTGAAGAATATTGTTAAAGAAAAGTAATGACTTCCATTAGTACTTATTAGTGCCAAAAATGATGGGGAAGTAACACAATTTGTATCACATAAGTGACATAACAGCCTGTGTAATAAATAAGCTAAAGTAGCAAGTAGATAACCATTATGGGAACAAGTACCACTTTGCATGAAACCTCAAAATTTTACACATTAAAATTAAACCAAGTACCTGATAAAAACAAGTCAGATCATAAACTCATTATGGGAATTTTGTTGAATGCACATTATCAATTAGCTCTTACCTGCACGCGATAGCCAGGTCAGCCCTCTGGTTTGGGCCGATGTACTTGTATTCAGTGAGAGCATCACTTACAACATCTAGAAATGATTTTCTTTTAACCACCACAGTTGTCCGCCTCTTATACGACTCAAATGATTTCCTTGTGCTTATATCACCATCTTCATGATGACGTTTATTTGAGTTATCTTGCTCCAATGTATCTGTACATAGTAGAGTTGAAGTGTCACCTGTACATTCACTTCTGATCTTCTCAAAAACCCTTCTGCTAATCTGATTAGAAAAACAGTCTTTCAGCAAGATAAATGAATTATATACAAACATATACTGACATGGACTCTCTCTCTGTCTATACACACACACACACATCCAAGGATACTATGATAGTGGAAGTCTATGGATAGTATGGTAGTCATACACTATTAGTGTTATTGCAGAGAGGAAAGTCTAGGCTGCAATATGATATTTTGTCCGATTCATATTCACTTTATATGTGAATACTCATTCCATACACGGAGTTGATATAGAACCAAGGAACATTTAGTTTTCCACATCGAGCTATTTGTTTCGCTTAATATCAAGTTACATTATCATCTTATGTCTAACTGCTCTAATTTCTTTACTTTTATGATTTCAAATCCAAATTTCATTATATAGCAGAAGAAACAAATCAACATGACAACATCATCACTAAAGTAAATCAATAACATATAAATCATAATACATATCAAGAATCTTAGATGTCTACATCTAAAGAATTACTTGATTAACTATTGACGTCAAATCTATGGGCATTTATTACGATTTTAAAAAGGAAAAAAGTAGACCTGCTTTTTATGAACAAAGCTTGAAAATCGGAAATTGAAGTACTGAATGAACAATAGGAAGCAATGAATGTGCAACATGCAACTTGTGTGAAGGTCTTATTCCAATAGTACAAGCATAGAAGTTTAAAATTTAGCTTGATCAAACTAAATTGAGACAATTATAGGTCATATTCTGCAATCTCATGGAAGAGTGCTTCTAAATCAGATGGAATAAAAAAGTTCAAAATATCATGGATAGCTATGTTATACTATTTGATGGATATATACTATCCTGGACCAAGGTACCCGAGATTATGTATTTCTTGTATTGGGGCCTAGCCTGTAGATTGTATCCGGCCCATGGCATTGTCTAGGTCCATAGGTGTTTTCCCTATATATAAAGGACAGAAGAGATTTATTATCTACATTACACTTTACTTCTTGTTCATTTCTCTATCTAGATCTTATATAGAATATTATACATCACTATCATTAACAAGATGGTTGATTTTTTTTTTGAAAGGACAAGATGGTTGATTTAAAAAAATGCTAATTTTAATTGTTCAGTTTTTCATTGTACAGTGCCAGTATAATACGGACTAAAAGTTGACAACCCCAGCATGAATTATATTAAAGTTATAACTTATAAGTTATAAGTGCTCATCAGAAAAGAGAACTTTCACATAACGTCCATTAATTCTTAAACCCATTTTTCTAAGGCTGAAAGCAAAAAAAAAAAATCAAAAGGTACTTTATTGTTTGGGCTTTCTAAAATGTGAATGCGGGAACAAAAACAATAACTTCATTCCTAATATAATAGGAAATAATATTCCTTTTTCCTGTTTTTGCATATTCTAAACCTATTGTAGTATATGTTCAAGATAATGTCAACGTCCTTGAATGGGATAGGACTCGAACTTGTGAAGGAAGTACTATTCTTAATTAATAGGCTAACTTTACTAAAGTCTAACTTTAGAAAGAATTGGCAAACTTTACAAAAGTCTGGTACTTTAGAATAGTATTAACTAAATTTTTCTAAGAAAGAGTGATGAAGCCGAATAATCATCCAAAAAGAGAAGGAATGCACCAAAGATCAATAGCAGTATCAAGCCTAATAGACACCCAATACCAAGAATCTTTGCTAGATTCTCATACTCCCTTATTAATTACTCCATCAAATTGTGCTCATTGGCAACTATCCGGCATGGCTAATTTTATGCCAACCGGCATGGAATAATTTTAAATTTACTTGCACCAATGACAACAAAATAGCATATTTGACAACTGTAAACTATAAGAGGACTAACTACTACGTATCGACATACAAATGCTGCAAATAACAGAGATACTACGTATTTTATTTTATTTTTCGAAAAAAGAAAAATAAATGAGGAGGGTAGAAGCACAGAAATACCTTAAAGGCATGTCTGGGTTTGCATCCCATGAGCTGCAGAGTACTCTGTAACACAGCACGAGTGTATCGAAACGCGTCTTTCTCTTTCTCTCCCACTTTTCCATTACCAGTATCTTCGCATACCTCGTCTCCCTCCACCACCACAATGTACAGCAGCTTCGAGGAATCGGCGGCCATTCTCTATTGCGAACGATACTTTAGCGAATGAGAAAGCATAAGTAATTATGCAAATGCGAGAAACTAGGAGACTCAATCAAAAGAGAAAACATAAATCATAAAATACGGAACTTGGAGACAAACACAAAAATGCTTTCTTTAGGGAGCGCTGAATATGAACTTAAAGGAAAATAATACGAATTCAAATTTTCAGACAAGTACCCGTCAGGTTAGGTTTTGCAGAGCGGGGAGGAGCGGTCCGGGAGACCGTCGTTCAACGAAGAGGTGAAAGCTTCAATAGGATGTTCTCATGTCCGGTTCATGCTTGTACCCATTTCTCTCGGACTGCCTTCTGCCCTTTTATATCGGTAGATAACACCGTGACGCAAAGTTTCCAAAAATAGACCTTTTCGCCGCAACTCTCTTTTATAATGTTCCAAAAGTTTGAATTATCAATTTGGTATTCGAGAAGTTATAATTCAGGATGATTCAATCAGTGAAATGATGATAGATCTTGTACTTGTGCGCATCGGATATTCAGCCCAACACGCAAGAATTGTACTATTCTTAAATTTTGCAATTTATCATTAGTGCTCTTAAATGGTTTCATTTTTTCGGAAATGTTTTTACATTTTATTCAAAGAAATGTGATAATTTATTCATCAACCTCAATACTTTCCTCATAAAATTAGCAATAAAAATAAATTGATGGTCTCCATCTTTTCTATCCAGCTAGTAGCCATGCCAGTTGATTTTAAATGAGTTTCATCATTAAATATATTGTTGTCAACTTCAATTGTAGGAGATTACATAAAATGAACATGAACCATGGTTGTATAATGCGAACCTGAACAGACCGTGTTACACTCACTTTTCAGTTGTTTATTCACTCATTCCTGAAATCTCTACCTAGGGGTGAACAAATCCGACCCTACCCAATTGACCCGATCGGATATATCTGATTTTATTTTTTGGGTCAGATAACCCGACCTGAATAACCCAAACCCGGTCCGATTTTTGCAAACCGAGAGTTAAGCGGGTAGGGTTACCAATTATGCTATCCGACCCGCCCAAAACCCGAACTAGGGTACTATATATACTACTTTGAATTATTATGCATGTTCAAATATCTCAATTATTGTATGCCAATTACCGAATTATGCATATTCAAATATTCCAATTTCCAAATTTGTAAAACTATAACTTTGAATGTTATATTGTTATGATTTTGAATGATATTTTGACCAATTATTATTTTATTTATCACAATCAAACATGCCAATCACCATATATTACTATTTTACATGTTCAAATATGCCGATTACCGTATTTATACAACTATTACTTTGAATGTTATACTAGTATAACTTTGAATGATATTTTTGCCAATTACTTTTTTATTTATCACAATTTCAACAATACACTACAAGAAAAGTTGTCTTTTGTTTGTCGACGCAAAAAATCAAAAGTCGACACAAATACTTCATTTGCGTCGACAAGTGGACGCAAATGGGTCGACGCAAAAACTCTTTTAGCGTCCACATCCGCCGACGCTAATAAAATTTATTTTTTGCGTCAACAAAAGTCGACGCAAATAGTAATAAATATGAAAAAATAAAAACATCATTTGCGTCCACTTGTCGACACAAAAACTTTGGACATAAATGATACTTTTTCTTGTAGTGATAATAAATTAAAATCCGAATGGACCCGAAAACCGAATCAACCCGAAAAACCCGATAATTTTTTTGATCGGGTAGGGTTTGAAATTATCAATCCGATACCCGAACGGTTTACCATTTTTTAACCCGACCCGCCGAACCCGACCCGTGCTCTGCCCTATCTCTACAATCGCTTCATATTAGGCATGGAGCCGGTTTGGTCCGACCGGCCCGGCCTAGGCATGGCAATGGGTCAGGGCAGGGCGGGTACTGCAAGACCCGGACCTGCCCCATGACTTGGCGGGGCGGGTCCGCCCCGCCCCGTGACCTGCACGGGTCCAAACTTGTTGACCCGTGACCCGCCCCGCCCTAACCTAATTAGCTAATATGTATTTCTATTTGTGGGAAATTGTTACCAATGAATCTACATAAAGTTTATCTATGAATAATAATTAAAAATTAATATATTAAATCAAATTCATGATACGCTAAAAATTTCAAAAATTGAGGAAAAATTACTCAACCTTGAATAGTTAATCTATTTAATTATATTAATAATTGAATATATGTATTAAAATGCTATATATAACGCATACATTGATAATCCGTCGTTCATCTCATTCTAATATATATATATATTAATATATTATAAGATAAAAAAAATTTAATATTTATTGTATACACACATATGAATGTTGAAGTATATTTTATGAGCGGGGCGGGTCGCGGCAGGTCGGGGTAGCACGGGTCAATACTAAAACCCAGACCCGCCCCATTTGCAAGACGGGGCGGGGCGGACCCGCCCCAAATGTCTCGGGCCAGGTCTGGTCATTGCGGGTCGGTTTTTTTTTTTGACATCCCTAGCCCGGCCCGCTACTGTCCGGGACCGAACCGGGCCACTACTGTGCGGGACCGGACTGGTCCAAGTGACCGGTACCGGTACTGGGCCGGTACCGGTACTGGGCTTAGGCCCGACCCGAGGGAGTAACCGGAGGCGGTTCCAGGACTCCTAAAATGCAAACTGGCCCGGCCGGTTCAGGCTTTATATTTTTATTTTTATTTTTTTGGTTTTGGGCTGGGTTTATGTGGGTTGGGTGTGGTGTTTCCGAGGGGTTTGGGGTGGGGGTTGGAATAAATACGAAAACACAAAAAAAAAATACGGAATCGACCCAGCCCGGAACCGGTAGACTCCTGAGCCGGTCCCGGGCCTTACCCAAAAACATTCAAGCCCGGCCGGTCCGAGGCCCGAACCGGAATCGGACCGGACCCGATCCACCCCTACTTCATATTATTTTTTCATAACCCGTCTTTTCTTTTATAAGATGATCACACTGTGTTAGTAATGATGGATAAACATTTAAAGAAGTCACTTATAAAATTACTCTAATTTTGTGCAACAACGACAGCAATTAACCGCATTTCGCAATGAGGAAAACAATGAATATATCTTGTGTATGCTTTCAATTTGAGATAAAGGTTTTCAATTCATTAAGCTTGTCACGCATATTAGAAGCTCATTCATATCTTTGACCTCAACTTTGGTCAAAGATAATACATAATTTTTTGGACAAAGATAGTACAGAGCACATGTTTAGCACAGAAGCAATGTCACTTTTCACAAAAAGTGTGGTGGTACCAGCAACATGTTTACCTCTAAAACATTGCTGCATCATAACTATGTGGTCATTTATACATCTGCCCCTGCATCCACCTACATCCTGAAAAATATTGTGTGTTTCACTATTCTACTTGTTTGTCGTGTCGTTCACACGAATCTTGATGGCTAACTAATGATATGATTAACTAATAATGATCGTATTGAATTTATTTTAGGCTCAAATCTAATTGCATCACATTCAACCAGAGCAAAGTAGATTGAATCCGATTTTGTTCACCCCTCATTGAAGGGTGAACTTCACCCCCTCCTCTCCATACTAGCCATTTTGCATCACAATTTTTTCCTTAAAATTATTATAGCTTTTTTATTTATAATTTAGTTTTCAGAAAACATATACCAGATTTAATAACTTTTTATCCATTATATTTTTAACTTTTTATAATGGTACCCATTCTGAACATAATTGTTTTTTTTGTTAAATCTATTTTTAGCTACACTTTTTAAAATTTTACATATGCAATAGTAGTACCACATATTGATATATCTTTTGAAAAAATTGAACCAAAAATGAAAAAGCTATGACAATTACAAAACTGTAATGTATTATTATGTCATGTGGTATCATTGGAGAGTGGGGGTGATGTTCATCCTCTTTTGAGAGAGTGAACAAAATTGTTCTCAACTAAGGGATGTTTACTTCGACTTAATGGGATTAATGGATATTCTCACTTAATTGCTCAACTATATAGTCATGTTTACTTGTGCCTTAATTACGACTTAATCAACGTTGATCTACACAGTGACCCCCCCCCCCCCCCCCCCCCCAATTAATTTGATGTGAATTGTATCTGCAATATTTTTATGTTGTTGCCCGAAAAGGGTGGATGCTATAATTAATTAACCTGGAGGTTGAAGTTTTTAGTTAGGTTGCAGAATGATTTTTTATGAACTGAGAGTTATATGGGAGTCCATCTTGGTTGCAAGTTGTATCGATGTGTGCAGTACAATGTCAAAGAATTTTTAGCAATTTTTTGTGTGCCTTAGAACACCTAAAACCTTATACTTTTGTTGTTAAAATTAAAGTCTGATGATTTAAGAATCTCTCATATGAAAAGTTAATTAACTTGCTTTAAAGAAATATCTTTAAAATTCATTCTATATATAGAAAAGCGGATTTTTAACAGCAGTAGTTTTATCACCGCACTCACACTTATTTTTCATATATAGAAGACATCTTTGAAATGTCTATATATAGCAAATTACTTTGTTATTGTTTCACAATTTAGTTTGTTTTTTGTACATATTTTACAAGAACCTGCAACATTCATGATAACATATTTGAATAATTGAAACATGAAACAATATTCAGCAATGAAGGAGGAGAAGTAGAAGGTCAAGGAAGTAAAGAAGAAATCGATGGAACACAATAGGGATACACAGAGCATACAAAGATAAATCAATTTTGCTCTTTGTACACACATTTGTACACACCATATACACACTATATATATTTTAAAAAAATTACCCCCTTCCCCTCAGATTTCACCATCTCACCATCAGCCCACCTCACCTTCTCTCCGCTCTCTCCATTCCCCAAGAGCCTCCCAGAAAAAAATTTCTATTCTTTCCCCTTTTCGTATCTATCTCCCTTCCCAAATCCCTAATCCAATCAACAAATATAATTTCCATCGTCACTTGTCTTTCTTACCTCAAGTCCGAATCCAACGAGATTTATGCCAAGGGTGTGGTTACAGTTGGAATCAACGCAGATGAGGATGACGGTCGATTTATGCCGCTCGAACGAGAACTTCCACCAATGAGCCCAAAATTGTGGCAGCTTCTTGACTGGACCCTCAATTACATAGGTTCTTGCATTAAGTCATTTTTTCCCATAAGTATTTTACTTAGTGCGTATGGAGAGTTGGGGGAAAGGGACTTTGTAAATTGCTTATTCTTTTACAAACTCTTAATTGATGTTTTGTCCCAGTGTAGACCTTCTTAACGATGAATTCCATTTTGTCTGCAAATTAAACTACCTGATGTGTACAAGTAATTTTTTTGCTTGTATTAAAGTCATTTTTTGGTCCCAAATGAGGGGTTTTGGGAGGCTCTTTCTGTAGTAAGTGATATCCACTACAGAAGGGTGTCATTT